CTCCAACTCAAAAAAAAAAAAAAGTAATATTTGTATTTGACTGCTGCCTGACTGAACTACTGAGGTTTATCTATTAGAATAAATTTGGAAACAGACTTTTCATGCCTACAAATTGTGATGGAAACCTTCTGTTACATCCTCTCTACTCTTCATAACAACTTTCCTTTTCTTTGTTCTGTCCCAAGACAAAGCTACCAATCCTTCCAACCGCCAGGAAGACTGGGAATACATAATTGGCTTCTGCGATCAGATCAACAAAGAGCTTGAAGGGTGAGTCTCAATGCTCTTATGGGACAGGTGAGAGAGAGCTGACTGGAAAAGGCAGAAACAGTGGCCAAAGGAGGGCTAGCCATATGGCCTCAGGGCCAACATACTGAAAGTGCGGTCTGCTTGTCTCTCAGACCACAGATCGCTGTCCGATTGCTGGCCCACAAGATCCAGTCTCCACAGGAATGGGAGGCAGTCCAGGCTCTGACGGTAGGTTCTTTATTCTTCAGGGATGAAAGCAGTGACTCCTCACCTGCCCAGGCCGTACCTCATGCACCCAGTGGGCTCTTGGTGGTTCTCAGGGCTCATGCCCAAAAGCCAGCAGGAAGTCCTTGATACAAACTAGATTTGTCTAGAACATGTTCAGTCAGCCGTTCCACAAATGTGTGTGTACTGTGCCTGGCACTGAGGCTTCAGAGGTGACTGCAGCACCATCCCCACCAGCATGACTGCACAGTTGGTATGCGAGGCAGAGGGATAAGGGAGGGAACCCAGAGGCAGGGCCCTGAGCCCTGTATGGGGCTAGAGGAAGCTTGTCGAGATGCCCACAGAGCTGTCAGATGCCAGCAGTTAAGAATTGGCCAGCTGAAGAAAAGTGAGGTGAGTATAATTTGCTAGGTAGTTAATAAATAATGCCTGTTGCTAATGAAGGTGTTGCATTGATGGGCCAGAGCTTGGGGTTTTTTCAGACTAAGGGAATTCAAGATGTGGAGTAGTGTATGACACTTGGGTGCCTTCAAGTGCTCCCCAAACCAAAAAGTAGCTGAGTTCCAAGGAATCCAGGTTTCTGCCCTGACTACACTTGGAAGAGAGAAAATAATGCTTAGACAGCTGATGTGCACCCTTGGGTCATGTTCACTGTAGAATCACTCAGAATTTCAAGGATTGTTTTGTTTTTGAGTAGGAGTCTCACCCTCTCGCCCAGGCTGGAGTGCAGTGGCACAGTCATGGCTAGCAAGACTTGGCCTGCTGGGCTCAGGCGATCCTTCTGCCTCACCCTTCCAAGTAGCTGGAACTACAGGCACATGCTACCATGCCTGACTGATTTTTTAAAATTTATTGTAGAGACAAAGTCTCACCAAATTACCCAGGCTGGTCTCAAACCCCTGGGTTCAGACAGTCCTCCCACCTCGGCCTTCCAAAGTTCTGGGATTATAGACATGAGCCATCACACCTAGCAAGGTTTTAAGACCTTACAACAATGATTCTTTTTTTTTTGAATTGGAGTCTCACTCTGTCGCCCAGACTGGAGGGCAGTGGCACACTCCTGGCCACTGCAGCCTCGACCTGCTGGGCTCCAGCGATCCTTCTGCCTCAGCCTTCCAAGTAGCCGGAACTACAGTTGCACGCTACCACGCCTGGCTAATTTTTTATTTATTGTAGACACGAGGTCTCGCCAAGTTGCCCAGGCAGGTCTTGAGCCCACGGACTCAGGCAATCCACTCGCCTCAGACTCCCAAAGTGCTGGGATTACAGGCTAAGCCACCAAGCCCGGCCAGCAGTGATTCTTCATAGGGAGTGATTTTGCTCACCAGGGGACTTTTGGCAATGTGTGGAGAAATTTTTCTCAATTAAAAAATCTTAAGGCCGGGTGTGGCAGCTCAGGCCTGTAAGCTCAGCACTTCGGGAGGCTGAGGCGAGAGGACTGCCTGAGCCGAAGGGTTCGAGACCCGCCTGGGCAGCTTGGCGAGACCTCGTGTCTACAATAAACAAAAAATTAGCCGGGCGTGGTGGCACATGGCAGTGCTTCTGGCCACTTGGAAGACTGAGGCGGGGTTGCCTGAGCCCAACAGGTCGAGGCCACTGCACTCCAGCCCGGATAACAGAGTGAGACTCTGACTCCAAAAAAAAATGTTTTTTCACTAGCAAGTTTACGTAGGACCAGGGAGACATTTTAGTTGTCACTCGTTGGGGCAGGTTCCTTCTGGCATCTGGTGGGTCGGGGCCAGGGGTGCTGCTGTAAACTTCTGAAAGCCGGGCTAGGCGTAGTGGCTCACACCTGTAGTCCTGGCACTTTGGGAGGTCAGAGTGCAAGGACTGCTTGAGCGTAGTGAACGCAGGAGTTCAAGACCAGCCTAGGCAACATAGTGAGACCTCGTCTCCACAAAAAATAGAAAAATGAGCTGGGTGTGGGGGCATGCACCTGTAGTCCTGGCTACCCGGAAGGCTGAAATGGAAGGATCGCCTGAGCCCAGGAGGTTCAGGCTGTGGTGGGCTATGACCGTGCCACTGCACGGCAGCCTGGGTGGCAGGGTGAGATCCTGACCTCCCTCCACCCCCACATCAAAAAAAGAAGAAGCCGAGAAAGGGAGCTGTGGAGTGGTGTACTCCTCATTATAAACTGTGCAGGGGCCAGGAGCTACAGGCAGCAAAGGAAAGCATACGTGTAAGTTTCAGAAATCAACGGAGTACAAGGGATGAGGAAATGTCCTGTCATCTAAACGGAAGATAACAGGATTTAAACAATGTCTTCCCCCACCCCTGCAAAAATGTTGGTGAGCTACTTGTGGAAAGAACCCTGAACACTGAGTCAGAGAAACTGTCTCTGGACCACTGTTTCCTCATCTCTGAAAGATGAGGCCAGAATCTTTAAGGAAAGCACCTTCCAGGACTGCATCCAGGCCATGTTGGTGTCAGGGTCTCTGTGTCTCTTACTTTGGTCCCTGCATAGCTTCCCCAGCAGAAGTCTGCGATTGGAGGGGTGCAGTGTAAGTGATCCTGTTGCTCAACCTGCTCTGTTCCTGGGCTTTTTGTGATGAACTCCTTCTTCCAGGGATGCTTGTTCAGCACTTCTGGGTGTCGGGTCCCAGCCCTAAGCATGCTCTCGCTGATTGCCTCTCCTCTGTGGCTACAGGTGCTGGAGGCGTGCATGAAGAACTGTGGGAGGAGATTTCATAATGAAGTGGGAAAGTTCCGCTTTTTGAATGAGTTAATCAAAGTCGTCTCTCCAAAGGTCAGTCAGTGGCAGTTTCCTCACTTCTAGGGATTTCTTTTGCATTCATTCCTGTCTCCCATTGTGCTGGGTTTCACTGCCCAACCAGCATCTTCACGGAGCTGTGGGTCTCCGTGTTTTGTCCTTAGAGTGCTAGGCCTTAGAGGTAACAGGATAACCAAACGGGTCACAGTGACAGACAACTTTCTCTGACCAGCTCACAGCCTAAATGTGCCAGTTGACACAACAGTGGCTGTGTGTGTGCTCAGGGTGAGAGCGTGAAGAGTGTGAGACTCTGGGCTCCTGGTACACAACAGTTGTGGGGGGTTTTAGGGTCTTACATAGATACAGGGAGCTGGTCTTTCACATTACGCAGCTGCTTAGCTGTCTGGGTTCTGCTGCATGCTGGTGTTGCACAGCTCTGGGCACCCACTTAAAGCACAGGGAACACTTTTTCATGCTAAAGACAATCTTGGCTGGGCATGGTAGGTTACACCTGTAATCCCAGGATATTGGGAGGCTGAGGCCAGAGGACTGCCTCAGCCCATGAGTTCAAGACTAGGCAACATAGTGACACCTTGTCTCTACAAAAGCAAAAAAAAAATTAAAAATTAGCTAAGCATGGTGGCACGTGCCTGTATCCCCAGCTACTTGGGAGACTGAGGCGGAGGATCACCTGAGCCCAGGAGGTCGAGGCTGCAGTGAGCTGTGATCATGCCACTGCACTCCAGCCTGGGTGACAGAGTGAGACCCTGACTCAAAAAAAAATTTCTCTTGGACTTCAAGATAAAATGCAGTTGTGTTTCTGGCAGCTTGTGCATGGAAATGTAGTGATGAGCTCCTGGCTTCCTGCCTAACCAGAAACTGCATCCAGACGGACACAGCCACACCACCAGAAGGTCCTTCCCATCCCCTGTGCCATCTCACACACATCTTGACACCTGCTGGTTCTGAGTAGGCTTGAGCACTGGAACTAGTGAGCAGCTACCTCAGTGCTATGAGGGGAGCCTCACGCTTTCTATGCCTCTAAACTGCAGTTACTCGGTTCTCTTATTTTCTTTTGCTGCTTAGTACCTGGGGGACCGGGTGTCTGAGAAAGTGAAGACCAAGGTTATCGAGCTGCTTTATAGCTGGACCATGGCCCTGCCAGAGGAAGCAAAGATCAAAGACGCCTACCACATGTTGAAGAGACAGGGTATGTCTCTTTTCTCAGCCTCAAGGCAGCCCTTGGAGGCTGCCCAAGGCGAGGAGAGAAGGGACTGTTTGGGGTCCTCAGACTCCCTCCTGAAGGGAACAGCATTTGTCCCCAGGCAGGGCAGAGCGAGGGTTTTGTGGGATGGGGGTGTGAGCAGCCGGCCCTGTACCTGCTTCCTTGCAGGTCTTGATCACAGGATTCGGCCCTCGGTATGCACACAGGGGCGACGAGGTGACTGCAGCCTGCCTGAGCACATGCTCTGCCCCATGTCCCCTTTCAGGCATCGTGCAGTCTGACCCACCAATCCCTGTGGACAGGACGCTCATCCCCTCTCCACCGTCTCGTCCCAAAAACCCCGTCTTTGATGATGAGGAAAAATCCAAGGTAAAGTCCAGTAAAGTCCATCTCAGACCTGGGGTTTTCTCAGGAGAGCTGGCGGCAGGAGGGGCAATGTGATTTTCCTGGGGGAGCTCCAGTTCTCTGTGATCTCCCTGGGTGGAGGTGGCAGTGGGAGTGCTGCCTTTACCCTTCACCTCTGCTGTCCTCTTCTTCCAGCTTTTAGCCAAGCTGCTAAAAAGCAAAAACCCAGATGACCTGCAAGAGGCCAACAAGCTCATCAAGTCTATGGTGAAGGAAGTGAGTAGACCCTGGTCCTATCGGCATGGGGTGGAGAGGCGGCCAAGACCACAGAGCAGAAGCTTCCTTTTCCATGAATGTTGAGGCTATTTTGTTCTCCCCTGCTGCCAGCCCTCACCTGGAGGGGCTGAGAAGGGAAGGAGCACTGAAGCTTCTGGGAGAGCATGGAAGAGAGAGCATGATGGTAGGGAAGGGGTGCTACAGTGGAAGAAGAAGCCTAGGGCAGGTCCCAAGCACCATGCATGACAAGGAGCTTTTGGAGCTTTGCCTGTATGTTCGTGTGTGGGGGAAAGGTGATTCTCACCTGGTGGAAGGGAAGACAGTCTAGCTGAGTGAGTGCTTCTTCTTCCTATCCTCTTTCTTGGGGACAGGATGAGGCACGGATCCAGAAGGTGACAAGGCGTCTGCACACATTAGAGGAGGTTAACAACAACGTGAAACTGCTCAACGAGATGTTGCTTCACTATAGCCAGGAGGACTCTTCAGATGGGGATAAAGAGCTTATGAAGGTAGCCCGTGTTAGATGATAAGCTGCCCTCACAGGACTGTGCTTCGCTGTGGGAACCATCCAGCATTTGCTGAGTACCTGCCCTGTGGAGAGTACGGGGCCACACACTGGAAGTGTAGTCATTATCTTTTGTTTTGTTTTTGTATTTGTTTTTTTGTTTTGTTTTGTTTTTGAGTTGGAGTCTCACTATGTCGCCTAGACTAGAGTGCAGTGACCGCTCCCAGCCACCGCAGCCTCGCCTGCTGGGCTCCAGCGATCCTTCCGCCTCAGCCTTCCAAGTAGCCGGAATTACAGGCATGCGCTACCATGCCTGGCTAATTTTTTGATTTATTGTAGAGATGAGTTCTCACCAACTTGCCCAGGCGGGTCTCGAACCCGCAGGCTCAGGCAGTCCACTCACCTCAGCCTCCCAAGGCCCAGGATTACAGGCTGAGTCACCGAGCCCGGCTGTTTTTTTGTTTTTGAGCTGGAGTCTCACTCAGTAGCCCAGACTGGAGTGCAATGGCACACTCACAGCCACCCCAGTGTGGACCTGCTGGGCTCCGGCGATCCTTCCAACTCAGCCTTCCAAGTAGCTGGAACTATAGGCGCACGCTACCATGCCCAGCTAATTTTTGATTTATTGTGGAGACGAGGTCTTGCAGAGTTGCCCGGGCTAGTCTCGAACCCGCAGTCTCAGGCAGTCCACTTGCCTCCACCTCCCAATGTGCTGGGATTACAGGCGGAGCCACTGAGCCCGGCCTCATCATCTTATTCATCTGCACAGCAGTCACGCAGACAGAGGGTGGCATTCCCATTTTACGCCTGAGATCAGCTAACTCACCCAGGGTAGAAGGGCTGGGTGTAAACCCTAGACTGTGACTCCAGAGACCATGCCCTTGGTGCTCCCCCGCTTCAGGGACATCTGGTCAGATTGGCTTCCTGGTGACCCTGATTCTAACGCGGTCCAGGCTGTGACTGGGTAGATCTTGAGTCCTGCGGTGCATGCCAGCCTGGGAAGTAAGAAGGGACTGACCTTCCATCATTCACCCGAGTGACTGCTGTCTACACAAACATCCTGGGTGAAATGGTATGGTGGCAGCCGGTGGTAGGAAGATTGGTGCTGTGGTCCCAGCTCTGCCAATAACTGACCATGGCCCTTGGAGGCTCCCTTTCACTTTTTGGGCGTGAATGCTGAATCAGATGATCTCTAAGGACCTTTGTGATTACGATTATGTCTGGGTCTCTCTCAGGAGCTGTTTGATCGCTGTGAGAACAAGAGGCGGACATTATTTAAGCTAGCCAGTGAGACCGAGGACAACGATAATAGTTTAGGTGAGTGAAAGAGTGACTGGCAGGGATGAGCCAGGCATTGGGATATGTGTGGGGAGTTGTCACAAACGAGTCTCTCTTTTCTCCTCCAGGGGACATCCTCCAGGCCAGTGACAACCTCTCCCGGGTAATAAACTCTTACAAAACAATTATCGAAGGGCAGGTCATCAATGGCGAAGTGGCCACCTCAGCCATGCCTGACTCTGAAGGTAAGATGTTCTATTCTAGGTCCCCACTCTGGACCCTCCAGACCAGCCCTCACTCCCACCCACAAAGCCATGGGTGTGGGCTAGCTGGCATAGCAGTTCACAGGGCCTGAGGGCATTCTCATCCGTTCGAAGTGGTCCTTCAGCTTCCCAGAGGCCAGGAGATACAGACAGGGATCTCCACACCTGCCTTCTCCAGCTTGCATTTCAGTGTCCCTGGCAGAAATGCCACTGAATTAGGCCAGAGGCGGGAGCATTAGCCACTGTTCCAAGGGCCTTTCCTCATGCTGCACAGCCATTAGAATGACCTTAAGTATTATTCCTATTCTCTCTTCTGTTGACCCACACAGGAAACAGCCATTGCAGTAACCAGGGTGTGCTCATTGACCTTGCCGAGTTGGACACAGTGAACAGTTCATCCCCTGTGTTGGCCCCGGCACCTCCTCCGGCTTCCTCGAGCATCCCAATCCTCCCTCCACCCCCACAGAACTCAGGACCTCCTCGCAGCCGCTCGTCTAGCCAGGTCGAGGCCCCTCTGGGGCCCAACGGTACAAACAGTGCCCTCTCCTTGCTGGACGAGGAGCTGCTCTGCTTGGGTATGGCCTGGCGGGGGCTGTACGGGGCTCCCTGGGAGGGCTCGTAGAGGGGGAAGGGTGTGAGGAATCAGGAGGCCCGAGGGGGCTTCTGGGGAACGTGCTCATCGGGTGGGCAGAGAGCCTTCAGTTGTAGGGAGCTCAGTCAAGTTGCTCGAGCCTCAAGACTACCAGGGCAGTCTTCCCAGCGGACTCCAGGGTGGACTCTGTATCTTGCTTCCCTCTCCCGGAGTCCCCACTTTGGCATGTGAGAACTTAAGGGGATCCGTTCCCCTTGGAGGCTGCCTCCCTACCTCTACTCACCATTTGTCACTGGACCCTTCCTTAGGCATGGTGGGGCTAGGGCTGCCCAAGGCCAGAAACTTTTCTCAAGTTTTCTTCTCTGTTCTCAGGCCTTACTGACCCAGCCCCTAATGCTCCTTCCAAAGAGTCAGCTGGAAGTAGCCAGTGGCACCTGTTCCAGGTAGGGGCACAGCGACGGTGACATCACTAAAGTCCTTGAGAACTTTACCCTACCAGTGTCAAATCTCCTGCCTGGTTCTTGGCTGCCGTTAACTGAAACCTGGGCCATCCTTGCCCTTCACATCACTGCCTGGTGCAGTTGGGAACACAGATCCCTCCAGGGGCTTTTCTGTGCCCCATCCTTGAAGGGCTCCTGGTCCAGCAGGCTGTGCCCCTCTTATGCCCCTGGCAGAAGAGTACCAGCGGCTGGAGAGTTGCGCCCCTCTACCCCCTGCAGCAGGCCTTCCCAGCCCTTTGCTCACCCACCTTTCCATTGCCTGCAGAGCGAACAGTCTGACCTGGACTTCTTCAACCCCAAGCCAGGACCCACTGCCTGCAGCGCCTCAGATGCTTCTCTGCTCCAGCTTTCAGCCCCTTCCTTGGGCAGTTCCCAAGCTCCACTGCCACCTTCCTTCCCAGCTCCTGTGGTCCCAGCCAGTGTCCCTGCCCCTGGTGCGGGCTCCTTATTCTCTACTGGACCTGCCTCAGCTTTGGCCCCCAAGACTGAGTCTGCGGTCCCCGGACACCAAGGCTCGCTGCTGGGTGACAGCACCCCACACCACCTGGACGCCCTCGATCAGCTCCTGGAAGAGGCCAAAGTGTAATGAGTGGGCGGAGAGGTGGGGCTGGGCCGGGCGTGGCAAAACCAGAGGTGTAGCCTCAGAGGGTGCGTCATCGTGGACTCTGAGAGCTGGGAATGAGGGTGGGTAAGTGCCGACTGTCTGGAGGGCCTTGGTGAGAGGTCACCCGGTGGCCTGGCCCGCTCTCTGACTCGTCTTCTGTCCTCCCTGCCTCCCAGGACCTCAGGCTTGAAGCCCGCCTCTTCCTGCTTCTCCCCTGGAGCCACCGCCTCCCCTCTGATCCCTACCACCACCCCAGCCAGGCCTCTCCTGCCCTTTGCCACAGGGCCAGGCAGCCCCCTGTTCCAGCCTCTGGCCTTCCAGTCCCAGGGCAGCCCCATGAAGGGACCCGAGCTCTCCCTGGCCAATGTCCACGTTCCCCTGGAATCGATCAAGCCTAGTAGGTGTCAGGCTTGAGGTGGGAAGGGAAGTGGGGTCCGCAGCTGTGGCACTGAAGGGTGTGGGATAGGTGGAGCCAGGTGCTCCTTGCAAGGGTTCCTTGGAGCTGAGCAAGCTGCTTGCTTGTGGTCTTGGCCTTAAGCTCCTCCCAGCTGAGCCTTTCCCAGACCCCATAAGGGAACATTGTACTTGGCGTGGCCACAGCAGAGCCCGTCTCTCCCTGCATGGCAACACCAAGAACCACGGGGCCCTGTGGGCTGTTTTTGGCTCTCTCCTTCCACACCCATATTCTTGCAGGCAGTGCCCTTCCTGTGACAGCCTATGATAAAAATGGCTTCCGCATCCTCTTCCACTTTGCCAAGGAGTGTCCTCCAGGGCGGCCTGACGTGCTGGTGGTGGTAGTATCCATGTTGAATACGGCTCCATTGCCTGTCAAGAGCATCGTGCTGCAGGCTGCAGTGCCCAAGGTATCCCTGGTTCCCTGGGGCCTCTAGGGGCTGAAATTGCCCTCATCTTGAACCCACTGCAAGGAGGGCCTCTGCGGCCAGAAGATGGCCATGTGCTTGTCCACTGGGACCAGACTGGGTTCCATCTCAGAGCACCTGCCAGCTCTCTTCAAAGGAGTATCTCTTTGTCTTTAGTCAATGAAAGTGAAGTTGCAGCCACCCTCTGGGACAGAACTCTCTCCATTTAGCCCCATCCAGCCACCTGCAGCCATCACCCAGGTCATGTTGTTGGCCAATCCACTGAAGGTGAGCACAGCAGAACCCAGAAGTCCCAACTGCCCTCAGGCCCAGCACCTCCCAACCCCTTCACCCTTAAAGTCCCAGGTTACGTGGCTGAGGGTGGCTCGGGTTGGGGGGAACAGGGAGGGCCATGCGAGGGTAGTGAAGAGGGCATCCTGCCGAGGGGCCACCTGGGCTGGATCTCACCTGCTGCCCTCTGCCACAGGAGAAGGTGCGGCTTCGGTATAGGCTGGCCTTCGCCTTGGGAGAACAGCTGAGCACGGAGGTGGGCGAGGTGGACCAGTTCCCTCCTGTGGAGCAGTGGGGGAACCTATGACCCCAGAGGATGCTGTGATCTCCACTCTGAAGCCCAGGCAGGCTGCCCTGAGATGAGGAGGTCTCTGATGCCACCACTCTCCACATCCTGATGGCAGTGCTTGTAGCTTTCATGTGGAGCAGGGGCCCTAGGCATTTCTGCCAGGATCCAAGCTGCTGCTGTGATAACTTCTCCTTTGGCCCCTAAAAGGACCTGTTTTTAATCTACCTGTGTGACTTGAAGTGGCCATATACCGTCAGGGGTGAGGGATGGTCTCAGACTTCACTACTGTCCTGGGAATGTGGACCTCAGGCTTGGAGTATGTTTTTTCTTTTACTGGCATTCACTGAAGCCACTGGGGGTAGGGGTGTCTCCAAAGAGAGATTGCTGCCCACTGTCCCCAGCCCCCACCCCCCACAAGACAGATGCACGGGCTGAGACCACAGCCCCCTGTTGCAAGTCTGTGCTTCCCCTGCTGGCAGGCTCCTACTGCCACCTCCAAGGAGGTGGGCTAAGCCCAGTGGCCTGGAGTAAGGAATTGGCACACTGCAGAATCTCCAGCCCTGCCTCCTGAGGACAGCAGCATCCTAGAAGAGCCACTGAGTGAAGATTCGTGTGCTTGGCCCTGGCAGTGGCAGTCTGCCCTATGGCAGGCATGGAACTCAGCCCAGCAGAAACAAAACTTGGCCTCATGACAACCTAAACTAGGGATAGGAAAGAAAATGTTTGCCCTCTCCAGAAGCAGGTCCTCAGCTTTCTGGAAAAAGTGTGCCTCCAGCCATGGGGACAGGCCATCCTACTCACTACCTCTTGCTTGGCATGAAATAAACTGCTGTCTTCCCCTTGGGTCTCTGAAGGGGAGGACGACTCCCAGCACCCTCTGCGTCCTGCTTTGGCCTCCCTCCCACCAGATGGCATGTGGTGTGGAGCCTCAAACTGGACATGGAGGCTTCAGGGTCATGAACGTTGCACTATATACATGTCCTACCATGCTGCCCAGAAACCCCAACTGTTCCCCAGCTACCGAGGGGCACTGTTGGTGAGATGTTCGGTTTGGACTTGATTGACAGGGACCATGCCTGAGCCAAGTCACCAGACCCTAATGCTTCAACAGTGCTCAGTCCCAGCCAGCTTGTCCCAGCTGCTAGTCTGTACCTGCTGGATATGACCTTGGCCCAGGGTCACCGGGTCTCCCTCTCAAGGCAACAGGAAGCGGAACCACCAGCTGCCACAGACACTGGGGAAGAGCACACAGCTTTCGCTTCGCTGAATGGACTCAGCAATCAAATGGGGAAAGGAAGGTGGCACCAAAGATGCTCCCTGATCCCCCCCCTTGCCAGGCTTCCTTATTCCTTACTCTAGATCAAGAGGTCATCCCCTTCCCCTCCCTGTCTTTAGCAAGCAGACTTTACTGCTTCATTAGGACAGGCCATAAGTGAATTGTTCTCACTACTTAATAAATCTAGCTTTCCAGAGACTGGCTGCTGCAGCCCTGGGAATGTCAATGAAACTACTATGTGGAAATGTACCTTTACAGCAAGCTTTAGACATTAAAATTATTTATGAGTGTTACTTGTTAACTATTGAGGTCACGACTTCGTGGCAAACAGCTGTACTGGATATACCAACTCTGCTGCCCTTGTTTTGCTGCATGTTAAATAAAATCATTTTCACTCTACTTGGGATCCTAATATAGACACCACCCTGACAAAGGTGCAACCTGTGAGGTCCAAACGTAGATGGGTAGGCTATGCTGGAATTGCCTAAGGTTTTTATTTGAAGTATTGGTTCCTAAACACTTTTTAAAAAAGCAAAAAGTAACAATACTGAGTATTCCAGGTGATTGTGAGGTAAGACAAGATTTCAGAAGAAGAAAACAAGAGCTCTTGTCTGAATTTCCCATTGCAGGCAGAAGGACATAGCACTCACCATTCAGAACTTCCAGGGGTGGCGGCTTCTCTAAGGAAGCAGGGGAAGACAGTTCTGTACCCAAGAGAATAAAACAGGTGGCCAGGTGCAGTGGCTCACACCTGTAATCCCAGCACTTCGGGAGGCAGAAACAGGCGGATTGCTTGAGCCCAGGAGTTTAAGACCAGCATGGCCAATGTAGTAACACCTCATCTCTACAATAAATAAAAAAGCCAGCCAGGCATGGTGGCACCCTAGCTACTCAGGATGCTGAGATGGAAGGATCACCTGAGGCCAAGAGATTGAGGCTGCCATGAGCCATGATCGTCGTGATCATGGCACTGTACTCCAGCCTTGGTGACAGTGAGATCCCAACTCAAAAAAAGAGAACAAGCATTTTCTTCATTTGGACCATCACAGGTTCAGAATAGACCAAGATTAAAAACTCCCTATCTGGATATGCTGAGAAATTATATTTGCAAAAGAGAACATTTATTCTTTTTAAAATCTATGTACACTGCCATACAAAGATACCACAACCGCAGCAGCTTTTTCAGGAACCTTCCAGTGAGCCTTCTCTTATGATTGCCCGGGCAAGATTCCGTGCAAGAGCAAGTCTCAGCATTTCCACCTTGGTGGTCTCTATGTCGTCATCCTACAAAGCCGAGAGAGCCAGCATGAGACACAGCAGGAAGTATTCCTTCTTTAAAGCTCCCAAAGGTTTTATCTAATCCACAGGTAGACAGAGGGCATTTAACATTCAGTGGTAGCTTCCAGCAAGTTCCCAACATAAGAGACACCAGTATACAAAGCCACTCTGACGGGAAGGGGGGAAATGTAGGGATCAGAACACAAAACCACCCATTTTCTACTAAAAGAAGGTAGTGTGACACAGAAGTTAAGGGAGATTAAAAGGCATGAGACTGTAAGGACCCAGTGTTTCTGGCAGGAAGGGGAGGCCCAAGACAGCGGGAGCCTTTCCCACCTCCGTGTAGAACCATCAACCCAGAAGTTAATGTGACCTGGAATAGCTGAGCATCAGGCTCGCCGCGCACTGGCCTTTCTGACGTCAAGTCCTCTAGGCACCGCATCAGCTCATATGTCTGTTCTGCTGAAAAGATCACCTAGAGAAGAAAGGCTACTTCACTTAGCTGCTACCCAGCTAAGGCCTCTGCCGGCTGCGGCCTGGATCCAAGTTCAGAGTTCTGTGGCTTCAGAAGCCTGTGCTTTGTACAGAAAACCCGGGGAGAATGGAGGAGCTTCCTATCCTCACTTCCAGCCCTTCCCATAAGGGCTCTGGGCTGATTATTGGACAACTGTCTCATTCTGCAGTAAGCAGTTTTGCTCCTGTGAATACTAGAATTCCAGAGTGGGTGCTGTGGAAAAACATGCACACACACAGAACTACTTTGGAGAAAACATCTGCATGTCCACAATAGCTACAGAACTCAGCACTGTCAGGGACTGCAGAAGATAGAAAAGAAAATCACCACTGACTCAACCTTTACCTGTTTCTGTTCCAGAAGAGGCAGGGCATCAGTTAGCAGTGTCATCCAGAAAGACCGAGGAGCAATCTGAGAAGTCATCAACGACAGGAGAAGAGAGGCGGCATCTGCAAAACGCTTCTCCCCATACACTCTGTGGAACTCACGGTACTTTCCTATTGAGAAAAGAGAGCACGGGGTCACCTTCACACCCCCCTCCATGGCCCAAGTGACACCTACAAAGTCAACCTGGTCCTAAACAAGAGAAGACCCCAGACCAGCCACTGCACAGAACAGGCAACTTTTCCAGAGCCATCTCCAAACTCACAGACCAGTGAGATGCAGACAAGATGGGCTGTGAAGGGGCTCGAGAGCCAAATCTGGGGAAAGGCCAGCATCGAGATAATAATGACTCGTGGATGACAACAGGTTGGCTAAAATACTCCGTGAGTCTACACTGACAGAAATAAAGGAAACAGGGAAGAAGGGAACACACTCCCTTATGGTGGAATGCCAACTAAAACACACAGAATCATGGATGCATACAGTTGGGGGGATGGCCGAGGGGGGAAAAATCACAAAAACGAGCGGGTGGAAGTTTGAGGAGGAACTGAACATTTAAATGATCCCAAAGTATCTCCAGAAATTATTAAAGGGCAAATAGGGGAGCCACCTGGTGGGCTCCATTTTAACCGAGTGACCAAAGCAACACACAGCACCTCAGTGGCATTCCTGTCCCAAACAAAGCATCTGAATCTCATCATGAGGAAGTATCAGATGAACCCAAACTGAAAATGTTCTACAGGATGTGGCCTGAGTCTTCAAAACTATCGAGGTTAAAAAGCACAAAGAAACATGAAGGCACTAAAGAGATGTGACAGCCAAACTCATGATCCTAGGCATGGCAGAAGACATTGCTGGGACAACGGAGGCTGTGGGATGCAGGAGGGAAAGGCTTGGAGGAGGCTGGAATGATCCCTCCAATCTCCACGACGATCTGCTTGTGCCTACGGCCGAGAGAACAGACCCAGAGACTCACCCAGGAAGGTCAGTCGATCACTGAGCATCATGGCTGGCCCCAGGTTGTCAATGAGATCCAGATCAGAAAAGCAGCCTCGGTCACAGTAGTCCATGAGGAACCTGTAGGTCCCGGGCCAGAGGTCAGAGCAGCAGGCCCAGGCCCACCTCCTCAACCTCCCAACCTCTCAGGCGACCCCTGGGAAGCCAAACACTAGCTGGACCCACCTGTCTGACACAAGTGTGGCAAAGGCGGCATCCTTGGCACGGATGCTCCAGGAGAGGGCGGAGCCCAGGCGGTTGTTGCGGACGGCTTTCATGGCCAAGATCTTACAAATGCTGCGAACTTGCAGGGGGAGAGAGAAGGCAAACCCTTTCACCCCACAAGCCACCCCGCCCCTGGGCCCTGCAGGGACAGAAGCAGCCTTTCCACAGCCGCACTGCAACCCGAAGCCTCTCCACGGGCTCAAAACAGCTGGGTCAGCAGAGCTGGACACTTCGGGATTGATACATGGTGTTTTGGCTCTGCTACCATTATTAAGACTCATCAAGGCAGGACTGGCTTTATGAGTGTGATTTCAGGGCTGGCAAAAAATGTTCTTGCTTCTCTCCTCTTATCAGTTCCCCCATTATCTGTCCAGATGCCCCAAATCCTATCATCCTGAGGGTCTTGAACACCATTCACTGTCAGATGGTCGTAACCATGCAACTGCCTATGAGAAGGAGTAACTTGGGGTTTTTTTGTTTTTTGGGGGTTTTTTTTGAGTTGGAGTCTCACTCTGTCGCCCAGACTGGAGTGCAGTGGCCGCTCCCGACCACAGCAGCCTCGACCTGCTGGGCTCCGGCGATCCTTCCACCTCAGCCTTCCAAGTAGCTGGAACTAAAGGCGCACGCTACCACATACCCGACTAGTTTTTTGATTTATTGTAGAGATGAGGTCTCACCAAGTTGCCCT